TCAAAACAAAAATCATTGAGTTATGGGATTCGGATTGTGATTTTTACGATATATGAGGCATGAAACTTGCCTAAATGGATTTATTAACCCCATTGGATTCGATTACTAAGGTTTGTATAAATTTTATATAGATCTCGGCCAATAAATCATGTTGTGTGGACCAACCAACGCGGCGACTTCAAGTGAAATTATCAATCTTAACCTAACACATTGGAAATGTAATTCGCATCTCTAGCTAAATTTAGAGTGACCCTTAGATATCATTAGGGGTCCACTTTAAGGAAACAGATGAAACTCGTGTGTGGAAAAAAAATCGTGTGTGTCACGGGTAAACAAAATGTCACATCTTTTTCCTAACTGAATGTAGCCACACAACTCACCTACGGGTTCTGTTTTTCAGAGCCATTCACATCGATGCAAACTGTCAGAAAAACACGTCTAAAACTTTTTGGTCCCGACATCCCACTGATGTTTTTACGCAGTAAACTATCGACCGCGAAGATTGACTGTCTGACAGATATTCCCGAGCGCATCAAGGTACCCACTGAAGGTAGTCGCTATGCTAAACACCATAGACACGTGCATTGATCTCAAAAAATGGGGGCACTCAGAATTTTTAAACCAAGGAGGACACTAAAGAAGTAGTCAGTTCGCAGAGTTGCTAGATTATTCGTGTCAGGACACACCTAAACAAATAAACTGCTACCTGAACGAATGAACTAGCCGTGACACATTACTTGTAAGATTACTAAAAACCTTTGACCACCTACAGCTGGTTGAGCCCTTCTCGGGGCTTATCACGTGGGCACAATCTGCGAGCTTCCGCCAACTTTATGTTCTATTTGAACTCAAACTGGTCAGATTTTGTTACCGAACCAGCATAAACGGAAGATTCAGTTAGTTTCAGTTGAGTCTCCCATCAAAACCAAATTCTTCTACGAAACCCAAACTCATCTTTGAAGAGGGATGGCGCGAACCGACCAGAGCTTACTCAGTTTGAGACCAACGTAGGCACAACGATTACCCCCGTTCTGTTTTATGGACTGAAAACAATGAGTCGTTGCTAGGTGGCTTGAGGAGTTGATTTGAGGAAGACTGATTCTTTGGTGCAGTGACTTGGCACAGTGATTCAGCAAAACAAACCCGGTATTTCTAGTCATTCGAAATGGCTGCCCAAAACTTTCGTATTCCTAGAACATTCTGCAGATAAGTTGCAATCAGATTTAATGGCCATAACATATCAGGGAGATTAATGGACCATCCGTACAAGTAGTTTTTTTCTGCCACGTGAGATGTTGCATAGTCGGGTGGCGGGACATCTAACAACGTCAATTCAGGGAGTGTCCTAGCATCGCAGTACAAATTGAGCTCAAAGACTGAACGATTAGTGTCAGATGGATCAGATGCCAGAATCCCCGAAACCTGCTTGGGGAAGCCAGCAAACATTCAGGCCAGTCAATCACTCAATAAATTCAGCAAACGCCGATGAATGTTTGGGCGCACAACACACAGAAGTACGACCGACTGTGACAAGTGTTCAGGCATGGTCGATGTTGATCGGTGTTCCCTAAACGCCTGTTAGACAGCCTGGATCAGTGTCAAAAAATATCCGTTAAATAGCGCTAGGCCATTGTAAATTTTGCACACTCTCGCTTGGTGCAATAAAGCTGTTGTGTTATTAGTCGGTGGGACTCTTACCGGCACAAAGCACTGGAGCGGGGACAGCAGTCAGATATGACAATTGCCACTAGCTTGACGGTGATACTACTGATGGCGAGGCATCGCAAATAGTATGTTTACTCGTAAATCCACTTTTGTTCTCTTGAAAAGTGAGGTCTATTGTGGAATTTGTGGAGTCGCTCTGTAACATTTCCTCGGATTTGAGCAACGGTCAATTAATATCCAGGAAAGTTCAGAAAGACGCGTTCAAAGAGAGGATGGATATTCAGTTTTTGCAAACTAGATGCGTATGAGAGTTTTGCTTCCCTGTCCAATAGTCTGTAACTGGTCAGTTGGCATTTTCTAATAAATAACTCCGGAGCAAAGATCTTCTTCCTTTCACTAGTAGTTCTGATAAGATGCCATTTTTAAGCCTACCGATTACTTCCTTCAAAGAATCTACACCCTTGTATCGCTATGGACCCATCCCTCTCAGTTGGTTTGACAGTTCCACCACGCTTTCCTTGGTGATTCCAGATTAATTCAATGTTGTTTAGCCAGCTAACTAACTAATTCACAAGCTCATGCAGTGCTTAAATGAGATTTGGTCGTGTAAGTAAAGCCAAGCTATGCTAAAAAGTTGAGAAACTTATGGGAAATCATTAGCGGCGCGCATCTCACAAAAATGAGGGACGTTTCGAACTCGTGAGCTTTTGGTCAGTGGTTGAACACTTGACCATTTGGTTACGAGTGTGATTAACTCTCACATCACGGAACTTAGTTCCTGTCACTCGGTACATCGCCGACGGTTCAATTGTTTAGTCAACAATTACGACGCTTTGCGATCCTCACATGACTTGTTTCGCTGCTCCGAAAGAGCGTCAGAGGCAACACGGTGCCAGGAGAATTTGGCTCAGCTTTTGAGTGTTTTCTTTTCAATCAATTGTTGAGAGTTCCAGATATTCGTCCGCCGGCTATTCGTGCTTTTGAGTTATTTTTTTCAAAGTGAACAGATATTTATTTCTTCGGTAAAATGAGAATGGGCATGTGACGAACCACAAAAACTACCCAAGTTTTGTTCCAAAGCTTGTCAAGTTCGATTGCTGTGAGTGTACAGCTGGTAGAAACGGGGTCAGCGATCAGTGTCCCTTGGGAAACGTTTTATATTTTTGGTTGACACAATTCTAACGACTCGATTGGAAACAAAAACGGGAAAAAAAACAATAATGAGGAGGGACATAAAGCCAATGCAAAACCAGAAACGCCACTGGCCGCGTTGTACATATACTCACAGTCCTGCGGAAGAGAGATAGTGTTGAAAACATCTTTAGTTACCCTGGGTAACGCGCAGGATTATGATGGGGTTAGAATAAATTGACGACCGCCGATAAACAATGTATTTTACTGATTATTTGAAGCCTGATCATCAAGAGCTGGTGAAAGGAAAAAGGCCTTCGCTGCGGAGTAACCTAATAGGAAATGCCAACTGAACTGTTACAGACTATTGGATAGGAGAGCAAAACTCTCATATGCATCTTAGTTGCAAAAACTAAACACCCATCTTCTCCTGAACGCGTCTTCCCGAACTTTTCTGGATATTCATTGACTGTTGCTCAAATCCGAGCGAATGCTACCAGGCGACTCCACTAATTCCACAATAGATCTCACTTTTCAAGAGACACAAACCGAATTTACAAGGAGAAAACATACTACTCACATACCTCCCCATCAGTAGCATCACATTACACTGGTAGCGCCTTTTGCACTTTTAAGAGAGACATGGAAATGAAAATCACAATGTGTTCAGTCGAACGTTAAGGGATTGCTCATTAGTCAGTTCTTTCGGAAGGTTTAGACAAGCTGACTGCCAGGTTTACAGCACTGGTTTAGATAAGGTCACTGATGCATCATAAGTTGAGCTCAATCAGTAGTGTGTTTGTTTTTGTATACCTGTTACGATAGATTGCTTAGTGACCGGGAAACGTTTACTCTAACTAATTAGTCCATCAAAAAGAGATGATTCTGAGGGGAACAACCAATCGTGATCGAAGGCAGACCTCGGCTAGCAGCGACTAAGTCAACACAAATGGACAGCAATTGACCAATCGCTACTCTTCATTCCGCGCTGTAACAACAGACTGATGGTGCCACTTTGATTAGTAATGAAACGCTTGCGATCGAATTGCCCAGCTCAACAAACAGACCAACGATCATCTACGCTACCCGAGTCGCCAATATCCCACTCAGTTGCAAGAGATTACAAATCCACACTCTGTTGAGTAGCGTCCGCTGGCTCGCAACAGTGTGCTTCATCTGTGAACCTGACCTGTGCGTGTGCCTGTTCCTTTTTCGCACACCTCTGTTGGATAACAGGTAAATTTGTGGTGAAATTCCAGCTTTGTTGTTATCGTGGATTTCACAGGTGTTTCCCGTCGCTTAAAACTCCAAGTAATCTGCTAACAATGTAAAATAAAAAGACAAGACGCACGGGGCTTCCATTCGAAGAGAACCGAAAATAAAGGAAGACACTTACTGCCTAAGAACAAATTATTCACACAGCTGATTAGCCGTTCAAGGTTGAATTGTACAGTGCTAGGATATCAACCGGAAAGTCGTGAGATGTGCTCTGCAGGCGATTAGCAACAAACAGGAGACTACTCGGCTTTTATTTCAGATTCATTTCACTAGCAGTACAGGCCGAACGGGGATATCTGCATGATCTGGAAGGTATGCTAGAGCTCTGTGAACATGAAATATAAGAGAAACTTAATAAAATATAAGGCCTGCAAAGATTGAATAGGCGATAGTCTCCAAGAGTTTTCAGCAACCTTGTGAGTAGTTTCCTTTGTGAACAAAACATCGCGATACCTCGGAAATCTTACCAAATGAAGCATGTGGTGACCCTTGTGCAGCAGATTCAGTTGAGAATATTATAAACAATAGATTCAGCTGAGTCTCCTGTGTAAACCAAATCGATATGCCAATGACTGTGTGTCGAAAAGAGATGACTAATCTACAGCGTCTCTTGACTTTCATCATGAATTGATTCCACATGTAGTATGGGTCAAGCAAATCTCCTAAGTTTTTAGGAGAAACCTGCATGTTCTACCCGATGTACTAATTTCCCAAGCTTTATGGGGAACCTAAAGTATAGCTGGCCTAGGGAGCTTTTCGAGTCCGTACCGGTGACAGTATTGATGTAGAAACTCTAAAGGATAAACCTAGAACCTAAGTTCAAATGCGAAACCTCGAAAAACCCCATCAGTTGCAAAAAGCCCGATTACACTCTGCCTTCTCTTAAGAAGCTGTCCTTCTTCTGACCCCTCCACTTTGAAGCGGACTTTCACTGCCGTCCAATGAAAGGTACACTTAGGCAGTGGTCCACAGCTGGGATACGCCAGGTTGCCCAAGCCTAGACAGAGGGGTCGAGTTCGAACCACGGACCTTCCTGTCAGTAAATTCGCGCTCTATCCACTTGAGCCATCTTGCTCCCCTTCAACTAACTGTGCGGGTCGCATAACTCGGAGTCTGTCCGAGAGAATTCACAAACTCACGCAAAGCTACTTGAGAAATGGACTGTGCAGTTACGTGGCCAGTGCCATCACCAGTGAGCTTATCGGTACCAAAGTACAGATCAATCCGGCGGAATCGTTCATAGTGATTTACTGGGTGCAACCAGATGGGCATAAGACAGTAGGATTAGGAACATTGGAAACAACTGAGGCTATTTCTGGTCGGTTACTTACCCCCTGTGTCACCGAAAGAAGCACGTAATGGCCTTGAGAAAGCTTTGGCCCATCAGTCATACTCCCCAACAAACAAACCAATCAGATAGTCCCGTTATTTTAAACCTGTACTTTTATAAGCAAATTGCTTTCTGGATCACGCTTTAGATACGACATTTGCACCACGGTTATATTCGAGAATGCCGTGTATGAGTTAATCGTTTACAAAACCCGTTAATCGTCTACTGGACAGCCAACAGGAGGCAGTTCGGACGGTTCTAGAGCACATTTCGGATTAGCTCATTCCTTGAAGTCTTCAATAGGGCTTCCACACGTGTTTAGCCAGGTTAATTTTAGCAACGATTGATTTTCCAACTTTCTCCCTCTGCCAAAAAACAACTTTACTTTCCATGTACATTTCCTTGAAGGAAGTTTGCAAGCTGAATCATCGGTCCAAGTTCTTGTCGATTTGATGCACCCTCCAGCTGGTAACCCTCAAGCCTACGACTCTCCCCCTCGACTAGGCATATAGTATGTGACCACTGCATTATTGAGTTTTCAAGTGTAACAAAACTTACGAAGGCTGTTCTTACGAACCGGCTCTTCTCCAGCTGTTTTTGCTTGCTCCGGTTGTTTCCATGTGTTGGATGAATGTGTATGATGACCGTTACAACTCCCGCTGCTCATATTCAAACTGAGGCTGCTACTGCTTCGACTACTCCCGTTTAGATTATTGTCCTCAGCCACTGCCGACGCGGACAGTGTGTTTCCCGGTTCTCTACAAGCAGCAGGACTGGCCGCAGCAATGGCTCTGACGAGTCCTGAATTTGCGGCCAACCGCGGGAAACCAGTTGCACTTTCTCCACTTCCACTGGCTTCGTTCGACTGTGGCCCGCTGTGATAAGATCCACCCGCACCACTGTCCGAGCACAAATCAACCACCAGTGGTGTGCACAAGTGTCTAAACAGCTGATCGGTTGAATTCAGGGCAAGTGTTGGGTCTTTTTCAGCTGTTGCGCTGGTCAGTGTCGTTGCCGTGCTATTGGCCAAAGTGGCAATGGAGTAGTGAGCAGTGACCTGAAGCAGAGAATGTGAGAGTTATGAGCGTCTTCTTCCTGTGCGTTGGACAATTATATCACAGTTTGTGTTTGTCCTAAAAACAAATGTTTTCCCTGATCTTGGGAATAAGACTCACGTTTTCACAAAGGAAACTACTCACAAATTGATTTGCAAATAAATGTATTTGTCTAAGACTCACGTTGATTTGAAAATCTAGAAGGTACCCGGTTCTATTGGGGCAACAAGGACCTACTCGCGGGGCTAAAGAAACCTGACGATTACCCAATGGTTTAGCGAAGCAGTACGGGGTCTCGTTAGCTCCTTCTGATTGACCTTGAGATGGATCCACTAGTCTTTCAAACCTTACTCCTCCAAAAGGGTCCGAAACAATGGGCAACTCAAGAAGCGAGCCCCCTTAGGAGAAGCCAGTAAATGAAGAGTGCTGATTCCCTCGGCTGTCCTGTTTACTTGCTACAGGACTTATCGGTCTCATTTGACTATTCAATAATATTTGACATATTGTATGGCAGATGAACCGGAAAGTCATTGATTCGCAAATAATTCGTACTCAGATTGGTGTACATTTTTTCGATAGGCGTTCACTACAGACAGACACGTGTTGGGAATAGACATCTCCAAAGAGTGGTCAGGGAAACAGAATTTTTTCCCCATTTTTTTGGGGGGTTTTGCTGTCCCCAGTTCTTTGCCCATGTCCGAAGCTGATTGACAGCCTTAAAAATGGAACAGAGAAATACGTCTTTCCGTTGGTGTTATAACTGATATGAGATCGATGTGTATTGAATCGTTCTGCCTGGAACGATATCCTCTCTGTTGAAAAGTTCGCACAATGCTCAAAGCTCGTGAGCAACAAATTAGCCGATTCAAGAGTTTGTTGCGCGAACTCCCAAAGGTTCGACAAAGGCGTGCACTATTTACAGATTGCTACCCATCTGTCCTTAAAGGTTTGCTAGAGTGATCTAATGTTGCACCCCAGAAGGCAGTTTCTAATCTACAGTTCAGCATCCTTTTGAAACAGTGACAGTCCCAGAACTTGGGAAGAACTAGGAAGAACTAGTTTGTTACCGAAATATCGGTGTCATCCCTACTTATTGATTTGGGCGGAAACGTTGTTCACCTACTCAATCTCACAAGGACTTGTAAAAAGAGGTCACGCTTGAGACTCAAGTAGGAAATTTTATTCCCGTGTCTTGGCTCAAGAAGAGAAGCTCCTAGTTGCTTCAGTGTTTACCATCAATAAGAAGACATCAACTGATATGAGTCGAACGTTGAGACGAGCGGATATACGCGGCTACAAGCTTCTCCAAAATGAATTTTTTTAGTTTCATAGGGTAGTGCTGTTATGAAGCTCAATGAGTGGTGCACATACAAGTGCCGCTCATAACAGCGCCAGATGATAGGTCCGTGGTTCGAATCCCTGCAGGATATATCGATCGTTTCTGTTCAGGTTTGAACAATCAGTTGCACCTCACTTAGCTTCGGGTGACCAAAAAATATCACAGATGAACCTTAAGTTTCCACTCCATTGCAGTTTTACACAACATGGAAAGAATTCGAACCCGTGTTTTTTGCGTACATACTGAGAATTCGTGTCAATGAACAAACAGAAAACCAATTAGGTTTGTACAAACACACCAGATGAAGAACCGCATTCTGATGCCGATCGCTCCACTTACCAATTCGCGGTCGTCCAGGACATCGCGCACCAGATCGTCCCAGTCCAGAATTCCTCCATCGCGCGCAATGGTCACACTATGTACCACAACACGCTCATGAATATCCAACTATAAGCAAAAACAGAGATAAGATAACTGCTTATAAAAAACGGGGGAAAGAGCGATAGTGTGGGCAACTTTCGAAGCCGCGAACATAAAAACTGATGCCTGAAAAGAGAGAGCTATTTTGGTCTTCTATTTTGGAGGCTGGTGTACAACATGATTCGGGACAAGGATATCTAACCCAGACTCATGGATCAACCGGTGTTCGAGTTCAAAGCTCACATCCTTGAACGAGGCGGTCAGCGACCTCGTTTACTGGCAAAGCGCATATGAAGTGAAGTGGTTAGTGCTGCAAAATTGTTGAAGAAGCTGATTAATAACTAAAAATCAGAAACCTTCATAGAATTCACCTCATGAGACTCAGTCAGGATGAAAGTTGTAGAGATCTGGAGAAATTAGCGTTAATGGCAGACTCTCCTGGACGATAACAAAACAGCTCGTTCAACAGAACATGTTGCACAAGTACTGAGGAGATTCAGTTGAACCTCCCGCCCTCAACATCTTTATTTGCGAATGAGTGTATTTCACCAATTGTGAGGAGTTCCGTTTTCAGTCAGAACACAAGCTTGATGCAAACTCGGGAAATGCCCCTAACTGGTGAGCTTCAGACAGGGTAAAACAGGTTATTGGAGAGTTTTTGGCGACCTTGTAAGATTCCACATTCGACAATTTCTACTACGTACTATCAACCTGTCAAGGCCCACATCTCTCATCTGGCTAGCTGACACATCCTTCTTGGGGGAGGGGCGTTGGGGGTAGTTCTAACAATTCAGCTGTAGTCATACCCCGAACAAAGTTCGGCATGTGTGCTACATCAGCACAGCAAAGGGAGTGGCACTCCTGCTCACAGTGCGCACGGCCGAGTGCTCAACTTGTTTCCTATCAAAAGGGGCAACAACGTAACATATCACTTGCAAGGTTGCTGAAATTCTTCGACAATAATGTCATTTTGCAATCAAACGATCTATATTCGACCTCCATGGATACCTCCATTATCCCACTCTTGAGACGCTTGTTATATCAATGAAAAAATACAAAGAATTCCGGACATAATTTGAATTTTACGGTGCAGTGCTGAAATTATTCGTCAGCCATTCTAGATATATGTGTGCGGTAACGGTTTGGCTTTGGTGGTAGAGTGAGGAGACTTAGTAACTTTAAGTGGGGATTTCGTCCGTTAAGTGGGACGAATTCATACTGAAATGTCAAGGAGCACTGTGCAGCTGTTTATTCTTTATTGGGACTCCAATGGGGAGCTTTGAACCCGTGATCTTATGGCCAGCGGGTGAACACCTAACCTTTCTGCCGCAAGTCACTAACAGCAGTTTGATTAGCTTCCATTTAGGATATAGCGCTACTCGTCCACTACTCACAGGAACTAGATCACGTGGTCACGTATTGACTGGTTTTTCTAGTGACAACTTCCCAGACGAAAGGTTTACTCGTGCTGTGAAGCATTCTTCCTCTGGGCTGCTTATTGATTGGTCAGTGTGATTGGATTTGGCAATTCTAAATTGAGATCTCCTGTGATTGATTTCGATCCTCTGGCTTTACGCGTGCATCTGAACTTGCGGACAGTTCAGACTGGGCTGCCTTGTTAGAACCAACAAATGAGGTTCGCAATAAATTTCTGCTTTCTGCACGACATCTGAATCACCTATGAAGCAGAATTTTGGTAGCTCAGGCAGCGTAGTTGGTTTATTCGCTGCGCTGGGTAATTTTATTGCAAACGTTTCATGACCAATTGAGGTTTTTCCTGAAATTAGTCTCCTCAAAGTGGCGTTCCCTTTGTGGGCTAAGAGGATTTCTTTTTGAGCCAATAATCTGGTCGTGAGGTAAGGTATATTCTTGATGTAAGACTCTGCTGCTACTCTGCCGGTTGCTTGTTCTTGCTGCCGCGTGCGGATAAAGGAACACAACAGGGAAATCAGGAGACATGTCTCCCTATCTTTGATATTCATACGCGAAAACCAAGAGGGACATAAATTCATTCTGAAAAACGTGAAAATTTTGACATACGGAAATGTGAGACAGGGGAGGAAGGTTCTAGAATCATGGTACTCAACAGGGGATTTGATCAACCGATGCATTGAACTAGATCCAATTTACGCATTACTACGTGCAAAGGACCCATATCTGAACCGGAATACTCAGTGAGAGCCGAATGTTGGCCTCACAAGCCACGAGACAAGGAACAGCTTGGAGTTGGATCACAAATCAAATCCTGGAGGGATTGAGGAAAAAGACCACTCCAGCATCGTCCGGAGCACGAGGGCGGGGAAGGCCAAGCTCAAAGGTCACGTGGTCATCGATCAGTCAGGACACGGGATAACAGAGCAACTAATCGAACCGTCCGACCGAACCATCAGTCGTGATCGGAAGTCAGCCCGGATGGCAGCAGGTATATTAAAACACAATGACCGACCCATCACTATGCTCCACCATTCTCCATAACAACGAATTGATAATTTCATCTCGATTGGTGATGAAACATTTGCAACCAAAATGCCCAGCTCAACGAACTCGTCAACGACCATCTGGATCGCCATCTATGACATCTGGACAAGGAGTGAAATCTCCAAAGTTATGAAGATATCACGGACAAGTTCTAGCGGAGCAACTTTCCGGTGCTTCTCATTGAGAAAACGCTCAGTCACTGGTAAACACGACGAAATCTGGAAAACAGAGCCACAAAGGTTGCCGAGGACTCTCCGACAACCAGCGACCGGTCTCGTTCTTTATTTAGGCTTGCCAGGTGAGCGCATTCCCTGAGTTTCCGTCAACTCTACTTCCTAAACGAAAACCAAGTCCGGCACAAATGGCAGGAGCTTCACTTGAATGTTGCCATAAACGAGCGTATCTCCTGTAAAGCTAACTCATTTATAACTGAATGCTTCCCACCAGCTTATCAGTTGTCCAGACCCCCTGTGGTGCAAAACCGTCGGGTGAATTCGTGCGGATTTTTTTAGAATTAAACATACGTCCTGTCTTCATTAAGAAATCTCTGACACACTATAAGAACCCCATCAACCGCAGTGTCTTGATTGATTTGACGTGAAGAATAGCATTCTAACTGCATAGAAGAGACGAGCTGGAAAGAGGAAAGTATTTGTTAAAAAAACACGCTCTCCGCATTCATGAAAGACACTCGCAATTTTATTAGCTGAAGAAATACTCAGCTCCTGTTCTGAAAGCCTTGGTGGAAAGGCATGGTGTTTTATTTGAGGTAGATGATACTCCGTGGAGGCTCTGGCACCCTATAGACACCCTGCCGGCGTCAATGATGAAACGGTCCACTGTGCCGAAAAAAATCGTCTAACTGTAGCACCCTTTCTGTGCCTAGCTGCCATGCCACAGGAATGAGGCACAAGGGCTGGGATACTGTTCGGTCGCCCAAGCCTAGACAGGGGAAGTCGGAGGCAGAGGGTCGGGTTCGAACCACGGACCTTCCGGTCAGTAAATTCGCGCTCTCGTCACTTGGTCCATCTCGCCCCCCCCCCCAAAAAAAATGGAACGCCTCATGATTTTGTGTGTCATCCTTGCGCAGGGACCTTACCGATATTCTCTGTATCGTTTCGATTTTAGCACATGTACCGCCGAAGCGAGTACGATCCTCTGGGCAGTCGGGGTTCATAAAAAAACGCCAGTAGTGTGAGTAGACCGACACAACTTCAACTCACACAGATACTCGACCCGCCTTAAAATCAAATGAGTGTTCATTTACTATACTTTAATAGTACCTTATCTGCTGCGTGTAGGCAAGGTGCTGTAGCGCGATCAATATAAACCACACGGACAAGTTTGCCATTGTTCAAATCAAACTAGACGCAATCTCTGATACGAATAACATTTTTGAAGGGAGAAGTTTCACTATGATTAGTGCTCAGTTACGACCACCTGGTTGAAAACGAAGGACGAAGCTCAAATCTAGACGTTTTCAGCTACTCAGTTGTGCTTCGTATCTTCAACAGGGGCACTGTGTTTCAGACAAAGTCCTGGATTCTGACCGATACCTGTCACACCTTGAACACCAAAACAGCCTTTTGAAGGTTGCTTGCATATTGGTAGATATCAGTCAACCTTTGTGTTTCCTGCCTTTTGGGAGTTCGATTATTTTACGCCCAACAAAGGTTACCCATGGCGATCTAAATACTGAGTGATGGAAGAACCAAGTTGTCAACTGTGTTTTACACTAATAATCAATACAAAATGGACCGCGTTGAAGAAGAGCCGTGAGATAACTTAGCTTGGTTAGCGAACTAGTCGCACAAATGAAAATAGCGCTAAATCGCAGAACAACTCTGAATTCCGAAAGTACGAAAAAAAACAATAGACTTGTGTCTTTTGGAATGCAACCTACGATTGCCAAGATCAACGCCTGATGAAAAGATTACCCCGCGCAAAGGAATAGACGGAAAAAGTGGCAAAGCAGGGGATTTTGAATCTCGCCGATTGCTGTGCGCGTGCCCCATCTTGCAGACAGTTTTTTGGCTGTCTTTCATTCCGCCCGTCAAGTTAGGCACGGCGAACCCAATTAATCATTCGCGTAAATCAACCTAAACAGAACGCATTAAAGAGGACAGCTTGATGCTGAATTTCTGGTGTCGCGTGGAGAAATCTGTAAATGCAAGCGCCTATTCCTTGTGGTATTTTTTCAGATCCAATGGGCATGAAAATTCCCGAAAAACCAGAATGAATTCTTCGCACGAGAAACAACTTGGCCCATAATCGATAACTACAAATAGTACTGGAGCTCGAGAGAACTGAGAGGTTAGGGCCTAAAGTTTCTGACCGAAAGGTCCATGATTGGAGAGCAATCCCCGCATCTTGACTGCCACTGTCTCGGCTTGAACAACCTGAAAGTATCCCGGCCCTCAGGCTTTAATCGGGTGGCATGGCAGCTGAGAACGGGAAGTGTGTTAAGCTGGACACGTCTACGCGTTTGTTCAGACACACTATACTTAGCCAGCACAGAAACTCGGGAAGAATTGTGGATCTCAAATGAACGAACGAACATGCCACAGGCCGTACAAGATTGTGGCTGTTGGGTGAAGAGAACTTCAGTAGTAGGCATATTTCTAGTGTTACCCACCCTCAACCCAGCTGCGCAAAGACTAAGGTAGATAGGCCGGAGTTTGACACAAGCTTTAGTAGTCTGACTTCTGCCTATACAGAAACATGAATCAGATTAAAAGATGGATGGATAGAATATCTGATACTGGAAGGTGAGAGACCGGGTGAGCCATTCATGGCAAGCGATGGAGGGCTTCGTATTTCCTGTGGTGTCTTTGAGGTCCTGCATTAGGTTGAACACGCTAAACTAACACGTTGGAATTGCTTCTTTGAAACGACAATTGCTTTGAGGAGATAGTCTTACTGTACGCCAAACTACAAAGAACACTGCCTGGAAATATCAAAACCAAGAGATTCGGCTGGGTTCCAGGTGAGTCTCTCGGAAAAATCAAATCAGTTTGCAAATGAGTGTATTTCGCTAATTTCGTGCAACTTGGTTTTAGGTAGAAGCTCGGGGACTGCGCCTACCTGATGAGCCCCAAGAAGGGCGAAACCGGTCGTGAACTGTGGAAGAGTTTTCAGCAAATTTGTGAGTAGTTTTCATTATGACGATATACTGTGACATCACGAGTATTGTGCCAACTGAAACATGAGTTTTTAGCAACCTTATGAGTAGTACATTACAAAAAACGCTGCTGTCCTCTCTAAAGTGTAATCGCCTCCCTGATGAGATCGGATTTGCCGGTTATCTTGTCGAGACCATTTTAGGGACAGTAGTATACCAAACGTGAAACGCAATTTTGTTGAGGGGTAATTTAGCTTTAATGGGAGACCTAACTGAATAGATGGTTAGTGATATTCTCCAACTAAGTGCGTTACACAAGGCCATCTCATGTTTCAGTTGGGATATACCGATGTATCTGACGGGACCCACAGCTCACAAGGTTTCTAAGCAGTATACACCTACAAGTATGCCTCATCAGCCATTGGTTCGGAATGAAATGAAAATGAGCATAATCTATAAACAATAATCCGTGGTGACTTGACTCAAAATGCCAAGCTTCTTGGAGCGCAGAGCTTGGATATTTCATTGCGAAAGAGAGATACAAATCGAGATCATCCTAAAATTAAATCAGGTCTAAGATGAACTCGCTTCCCGTCAAGCTTCTTATTGCATGAATGTACCAAAATTCAACGGCCTGGTTCTCATGTTGAGTGGTAACACACTCTTCATGTAAATCACTAATCACATATAGGCTTTGCATCCATTGAACACCCTGCGCCACAACCCAGGTTTTCCCTTTGGTTTGTTTTACGCTAGTTGTTGCCCAAACCTGCCTGCTAGGCTAAGGGTATATAAAAAATCTGAAAAGATTTGAATACTCTGGGCTGATGGGTGCAGTACGTTTAAAACACCAGATCAGGTCAGCCTGAAGCAAGCGTGGCGAAATACCTCTTTGTCGTATGATAAACAACACCTTTTATGCTTTTTGTTAATAATGTACAAGGCTGAAATACATAAGGTCATAAAACAACCCAAAAAGATGGATGTTGATGACCCCATTAGAGGAGGTACAGCAGACAATGGATCACCTTTAGTGAATGACGCAGGTTTCATTGTCTGCTGTTGACTGGTTATAGTATACAGATCACTTGAGAAGTGAAGAATGCCCGGGTGACGCTGAAATGCAGAGCGTAGTGTCTGCAAATTTCAATCGATCAAATCCATATGGAGGTAGATGTCATCCTCCGTTGACAAAATCAAGGCTTGTAAAGGTGAGCGTAAAGGACCGTGAAGAGGCTGCTGTAGGCTCTTTGCACCTATCGGCTGTAAACTCGTGTGATTCTGGTCGATACTGGTGTGATTACAGTAGCTCCTTATTTGCCAGCAACAATAAAATGTAACTGACAAACCGAGGAGGAAACACTTAAAAGCATTGGTGTGGTCGCACGCAATTCGATATTCTGGACAGATCGCGGTGCCTCTTACAAACAGAGTTCAACACTGGTTGTTGGTCTGTCCGCCGAGCCTGGAATTTGGATTGAAGAGGTTTCATCACTAACCGAGGTGATATCGTCAGTGGAGGGTTGAGTGGGTGCACTGACATTGTCACCAAGCGTTTGCAATTTGACTGCCAGGCTCGCCGAACAGACCAACAACCAAGAAGCGCACCCGGGCTACCTACCTTGCGCAAAATTGCCAGAGTTCACCACTTTCACCATCGAGTGGGTTCAAGACATTCTAAGGTCCAAAACCACAGCATACAGGACCACCTTCATCATCATCAGTGGCAACGATATCCAGCGAGAACATTGAGGCTTCTCTCATACAACTCTCACACGACCGATAGATTGTCATCACGATTGTCCTAGGAACCTGCTGTCACCTTGTCACAATCTTTAACAGCTAAAAAGTAGTATCGACAACATAGGAATCTCGGATATGCTCAGAAATGATCTCGAATAATACACCTCGTTCGTCCATGTTGAAATTCGGTCTGGCTCAGCTGGCCAGACTAGTCGATTTACTGTAAAGTTTTTGTGTAAATCTATATGAGGCCCGAATCAGTACCTTTACAATAACTATGGACCGTACATGGGAGTCCGCGGCAAAATATAATAACATGAGAACGGGCGTCAAGATGTGCGCCCATTCTTGCTTCTGTAAAAGAAACCGATGGGCGTGTGTTCTTTTTAATGTTGGTCTGAATTCTTTGAGGCCACATGTGCTAAGCTTTTGTCTTCAGGTTTGTTCTCAACTTCTCGAAGGGCATTGGCCTTGTTGGTTGCTTCTGCTTGTATTATAAGAAAGTATTTACGGTGAGTTTTACTGCCCTCCAGAAATAAAGCATTGCACAATGCTGGCTTGTTACAGTATGTCTCAGTTTTGTGCGACCCCAGTGACATTTAAGTGCGGTTTTTAAACATTTCGCAGGAGAATACAATCCCTATTTAGTCTCCCTAATATTTTCTATCCTGTTGCCCAGTTAGTTGGACATAGTCACAAAATACTTTAAAGTAAACTAGACCGTTACGTCCTCATTGTTTTCAATAAATGGGGACTCTTCTATATGCACTACCACCTTTTATTTTACAACCTATGTGATCTGGATTCTTTGAGTCATCCCACAGTGCCTTTTTAGAGGATGTCTATCATCGCATCATCTTCAACAAAAGTGTGATGAGAACAGCTCGGCTCATACACAAAGTGTAAAGTGCTACTGCAAGACTGGGTGGGCTCGAACCCTAGCCTCATGCTTGCGGATGAACCGATTGAGGTAGTAGCAGCTGGGCAGCTGTATCAGTCCCGGTGGTCTCGCGAAAGATGATATTTCCATCCGGATTGGGAAGGCCAGAGCAGCTTTTGCGAACCTACGTCACCTGTAGCGTAAGCGTGACATCATCTTCTCTGTCAAGGGCCGAGTTTACAATGCTGCAGCGCGTTCCTTATTACTATATGGATCAGAATCCTGGTCGCTGCGCGGAGGAGTGTTTGACCATCGATGCCTTCAGAGTATTGCCAGAATCTGGTGGGAACATCGGATCAGCAATTCTGAAGTACATCGAATGGTATTCGGGAGAAATAACTCACCCTCGATAGATGAACTGATCACACTGCACAGGTTGCGTTGGCTTGGCCACGTGCTGCGTATGCCAGTCGACCGAATTCCTCGAAGGGCTCTTTTCGCCCAACCATGTGAAGGGTGGGAGAGAGCCAGAGGCGGTCAAACAATGACTTGGCAGCGAAGTATGAAGGCCATTACCAGCAAACTCAGCTGCGCTGGTCACTGCCGTCTTCCTGGATGGGGACCCCGAGACGGGCCACATCAATGGCTAGGGACATTATCAGACATGGCCCAGTCGCGCCCCCCTAATGAAACTAATGCATTCAAGTTATTGTCTCCATTTCATAGCTCCCTTCCCAGTCCCGCAACTTACCAGTCCACCTACAGTGCTACGCACTAATTTATCAGCTTCCACCTAAAATGCGCAGCTTCCTACCTCACCTCCCAGAATCATCGGTGAATGAAACTGTGGCAGCTACAACAACTGTAAGACAAGTATGCGGTTATTACAGCTGACAATGATGATGATGATTACATCCCAAGGAAAACGTTTGACTGTGTATTGATCATTCTGGGACTCTACAAATGGCGTCATTAGTTGCAAATTTCCCTCATCCTGTTCAAGCACATAGCATCGTATACTGTAAGACAAGTGTGCGGTTATTACAGCTGACAATGATGATGATGATTACATCCCAAGGAAAACGTTTGACTGTGTATTGATCATTCTGGGACTCTACAAATGGCGTCATTAGTTGCAAATTTCCCTCATCCTGTTCAAGCACATAGCATCGTATATTAGGAGGTCGCAAAACAGTGTTTGATTCGTCGCATGAGATAAACAAACCGCAAAGTTTCACTACTACAATCCTTTATTTTACTGCACAAAAAGTCAGCTACACTTCAAGAAAAAACATCAGTTATTCCCCACAATTCAATATTCGGATTATTTCATTCACGAACTCCAAAAGAATTGGAATGTGAGCATTCGCTTAGCAGTTTTTATCTCGTTACAGGCAAAAGGTCGGTCTATCCCACATGAAGCATTCAAAAGACACAAAATATTTGGTTTAAGATTGAATGACTTGCAGATAGGAAAGGAGAAAGGAAAGGGTTTCCGTACTCTATTTTTTGAGATTTGACTGTGGCAAGGCCAGGTCCGGGGAATGAATGAACAGTCAATATTGTACATGCTTCCAATTTTTCATGGGAAGACCACATTGATCCCTGTGCTTCGTTAATTCTTAGCCGCGGTACATGTGTGGTCCATTTTCTCCAATTTCTAACGTCCGGGGAATGAATGAACAGTCAATATTGTACATGCTTCCAATTTTTCATGGGAAGACCACATTGATCCCTGTGCTTCGTTAATTCTTAGCCGCGGTACATGTGTGGTACATTTTCTCCAATTTCTAACATGTTTATCTTCTATAAGCAGGCCAAAAATTTTTGTAGTGCCGATCGTCGCCCTTTGAGACGTACAATTTTATAGGTTAGTGAAGGCGATTTTCATGGTAGAGTAGGGAAATTGTTTCCCTACGTCATGTACTGCTTTCAGAAAGCCTTACTTAGATTAAGCCTGTGCAGAGATAAATTTTGGGCGCATTATGACTATGCATGAACTAAGCCAAGGCGGACTCTGTGGCCTTTTGTTATAGCAACGGATGCTAATTTCACGCAAACATCATGTCAGTGCAATCGTCCGCTGTGATAACTCCATTATCGTGCTAGGGTGGACGATTTCTGTGACCAACTCTTTTGCAGCTCGCATATCGATTAGCAACTTTATTTGTACTGACTATTGCGCAGGTCCACATTCTCTCAGACTTCATCTGGTTTGTTTTGCAGCTCCAAATACTCTCCTTTGGAATAAGTTCAAGTCCGTAAGCTCTTTATTTGTACTGACTATTGCGCAGGTCCACATTCTCTCAGACTTCATCTGGTTTGTTTTGCAGCTCCAAATACTCTCCTTTGGAATAAGTTCAAGTTCCGTAAGCTCACGTAAGACTTCAGTGCCTCACAAATCTTGCTAACTTGACGTTCAGGGTGTGACTCATCTCATGGCCATTTAGACTGTCCAAATCACTAAACCATTTTCTGAGTGTGAAATCTAAGAGAGCTAGTTGTTGTCGCCTTTGAGTATTCGTCAGCTGTGGAAATGCCATTAAGGCCCTAGAGACATGAAGGTTTTTCTGGCAGTCATTTTGGTATCTCATCAAATGTTATAACTTTCTCCAGGTGCAGATTTTTCTATAGCCGTACATTTCTATCGTCCATGTCTGTAGACCAGTGGTATGGACACATCACCAATCAATTTCATATGTTTGCCTTGCAAACGGCAGCCAATAATGAGAATATTGAAGGGTGCAACCAACTTATTTTACACTGACACGTGATATGATGTGGGGAAATTATAGAATCTATTAAACTTAAAATCGCTCCCGTTGACTCACTTTTTGTTGAAACATTTTGTATCATTGGCTAGTCTATTCCCCTTCAGTGAGGTCTCTTCAGCCAATTTCAGGAAAAATTAGAGGGCTAATGCGTGACTAGGCTTTATGAACTGGACTAAAGCATGCGGCTGGCGGCCACTTCTGTTTTCGGATTGTTCACCGCATGGGCGAAACAACTTGAGGTGCAAAATAATTCGAACATAATATTTAGTTTTTAACAAGATGCAGGCCGTTCTCAGTTTTCCATACAGCTATTTTTCCACTAGTCTTGGAAGCAACCTGACAAGTATTCTCTTGGCCTGCTCAAATTGTGGGTAGTATTCAGGCTTGTGGCAAGACAGATTAATTTTCAGGATAGAACTGCTCCTCAGCCATAAGTTGGCTGCTTCAGCAGCCAAAACTTCCAGATATCCTGTAAGATACTACTTCTGACGTACATACTGGTTGTAGAAATTCGGCGTTTGTAAACTCAGGTGTCCATTATTACCAAAAACGAGGAGCATGAACACAGACGCGTGAAAGCTTTAGAACAACATTGATTTCAAGATAAACCAAAACCATAGGTAACATTTTGTAAAAATGACAGTTAAAACCAAACACAGCTAGTAATGTTTATTTATCGATTAACTTAAGACTTGTCGTATACTACCGACAACTAAACCATGAGCACGAAACCTTTTGAAAATGTTTAACTCCGTTCGGTATTGTCACTTTCTCCTTTAAGTGCTCAGCACCACTTTGTTTATTTCTGCCATTCATTTGCACTGAACCCAAAGGGTTGAATTCCTTACATATATGGCAAAAGCATGTGTTCCCTTGGAAAAAGTATGTTTAATCACGGGGGAGACCATCCAATACGAACGGTGCACAAACGTTAAGGAGCATTGTCTCCCATACTTCCATAAACCATGATTGCATGGAACCTCATTACTTCGGTTGCGCTTCCTGAGACTGTAAGTCGAGGTTCTACGGCTTTCCTTCCAATATCCGTATTGAGCCTTCCTGGTGACTTTCAACATTTCAGGGCCGGTGACACATTACTCAATCGTTTGGTCTTTAGTTGCAGTAGGCCGCCTTCTGATAGGTTATGATATTGTTGTTTTTCGGAATCTTCACACACTGATAAAATGCTGCGTCTTCGTTAGACTTCTTCGCTCTGTTTATACTTGCTACCTTCGGGCTGAAAAATGGAATACTTAGCTGGGGATTAGGTTTCCCTGATAAACAGCTGTAATACCATCCGATCGGTTTTTGTGACTTGACTGTTTGTTTTGCAAGAGTTCTGGTGCTTTCTCATGGCTTACCTCAGCTTCTACTCATGCTGCATCAAGCGGTTATTTCAAAGCAGGAAATCTGACAGCCACTTATGAGGTGTCATGACATTGGTATAGTACATCGGTATTTTTGTGGCAAGACAATATATGCGTGATCCTGCTTGCCGGCTGCCTAAACTATCGCAGAGCCCCTGATGCACATATTGTGCACTGTAAGAATGCAAGTGTAAGGTAAGCAAAAAATGAGTTGGCGCACAGTGAAAAGAGGGTTTTGTCAACCTTCTTTGACATTTCATCAAATCGGCATCAGTGGGTCTAAAGCAAAAGTAGAATATAATGCTCTGATTTGCAGTTCGTTGCCTGTATATCTTAATTTCGATCGTAAAATCGCGCCTGGATTCTGGATACAGGTTTCTGCTCTTCGGAATCTAAATATAGAAGGACAGGAAGTTGATACTTTTGGTTACCGATTCCCAACACTCAGGTGTTAGGAGCAAAGAGGCTAGGTCGTTTCTTCAATACTTCAGTAGTGAATTCAGAATGTCATTACACAGAGCACATTACCGGAATCGTTATGTTATCCACCATGTCACAGAAGTTGTAATGGAAATTCACGTTTTTTTCACTTTTCTTCCCAAAACCATATAGGTCATCGAGGCTAGACGGATGGGAGGCCGTTAGTCACTCAGCAATCCGCATTTGTGACCTATTAGCAACTACCACACTTCTTCATGCTCCAGCCTTGTAAAAACTCCAATGTTGTGGATTTTCGCGGAGAAAAGTGAATGCGGTACCAGGATATACATTAGTTCCTAAATAACACTGTGACGGGTGGCCTGAGGAGCCACTTACGATACGCCCCGCATAGCTAGCCTCCGGGTTGATATAGCATCTTCTACGACAGGTCAGGAGCTTGACACTAGCAAATACGCTTCACAATGTGGAGCAACTCCTCTCAATACTTCAAACTTACTTTTGGCAACGTATGA